GCAGGGCTATGATGAGGGGTCAGAGGCAGCTGGTGGGGGTAACTGGGGTGGATCTGGGGCTTGGATGAAGGCAATGGGGGGGTTGCACGGATCACAAGATAGAGGGTGTCAGAGATCCAGGACAAAGCCCCCCAACCAACCGCCTGAGTCTATCAGTTAGCCCATCCATCACCCGTCCAGCTTTGTGGTTAGTATAACGGTTGCTAGCTAATCGTTTCATCATCAGGGAGATAATGGAGATGACAGTGAATCAGAGTAGGCGTAAGTCCGCACCAGGAGTATAAGGCCATAGAGAAGGGGCTTCATGCCAGATGGATGAAATATGTGGAGATTCCCCTTCCTGGACTCTTAACTGAAATATTAATGATCCCAAATGGAGCCCTGCATTAAAGGGTAGCTTTGGTATTTTTCAACCTGTACCTTTTTTCTATGTTTTTGTGTCTCAGTGACTAATGGAGATGACAATTTTTAAAACTGGTCCAGTAGTGAAAGAGAGCACTGCAGTCAGCAGCTGTGAAAAAGGCTGCAAAGTAACCAGTTGGGGCATTTGTGCACTGTCAATCTATGTCCACAAAAAGTGTTTGTTTTGCCACTGACAGACTCAGATTACTATTCTACATTGTGGGAAGGACCCTGCAGAGATAGACCTTCTTGTTAAAGATTAAGATCCTTATTTGTTTAAACAGAAACAGTCCTGAAATAGCTATCACCAAACTCACCAGACTCAGTTTAAATAAATAGTCATTTTAGTGTGTACAGATCCACCAAATTTTCACGTCTAACTGGGTGAATTAAGGGTTTATTTTAACTAAACCAGAGTTGGTGATTGTTGAAAGGGTGGAAAGACAAACCAAGATGAGTTTTGTTGGTTTTATTTTGTTTCTGTTGGCTTCAAGTGAAGTGTGATTTACGAAAATAAAATTACTGTTTATTTAAATGGAGTCTGGTGGGTCTGGTGATAGTGATTTTGGTGCTGTTTCTGGTTAAACTAAAAGGAATTAAAAGGTTTATCTCTGTAGGGATCCCCTCCTTGATGTTGTCAAACACCTAGAATAATAATCAGAGCCTGTCAGTGGCAAAAACACACACTTTACATGGATGCAAACTGAGGGTGCGCAAATGCCCATTAAGATTACATTGCAGCCTGTTTCACAGCTGCTGACTACAGCGCTCTCACTCAGTATTGGACCAGTTTTAGAAATCTGGATTTTAAAATCTATCAGTCACTTAGACACAAAAAACACTGGTTAATAGGGTCCAGGTTGAAAAATACTGAAGTTGCCCTTTAAAGGTTCACAGTGGGAGGTACAGGCCACAGGTGACGTTTGTTTGAACATCAGTTAATGGTTACACATGAGTGTACCATGGAGCTGGCTGGATGCTTTGAAACATCAGCTCCTTTTGATTTTAATTCTGAATGAAACTACCATGAATCCAAGAGGATTTCCCCCCATGCTGCGCTTTGTAAAATAAAAACTTGTCTAGTGTGAAGGAGATATGCTTGATATCCTGTCAGATACTCTAATTTCCCAGTTCTCCTCTAAATATCACAAGATATCCATAATAAACACTATCTGACTGGAAATCATAATATAATCTCTAAATCTGAGTACTCAGGAGCAAAGTCTAGAGAGAGTATTTTTCCCATTCTTCATCTCCCACTTCAGATCAGATACAAGCTGTCCTTGGAAGGATGTTAAGCCCAACCACAGCCTCGCTTCAGTGGGCTGCTCTGGCAGCTTAACTTCATAATCAACCTGAGAGGCCTTGTCAGGGCCAGATCTGGAAATTAGAAGACAGACGTTAGGTGAAATCGTTTGTGAAGATACGTGTTATACTTTATATATAATGACAGCTTTATCCAGTGTTTGTTTAAAATGATACTGAAAAAAAAATACATATGTCTCCTAGGTATTTTTAAAATAGCCTGTTTCATAATGCAACACTGATATTGTGGGAGCAGCAGTGAACAAAGGCCAGCATATTGTCAATCACAGGAAGTTGTGTCAGCCAGGTGAATGTGTTGCCAGTAACCTGATCTGCTGTTGACAGAACAGGGACAGGTGCTCCTGCCAAACTAATCCATACATGCATGCTAGACACAGGTCGTCCATTAAGGCAGATTGATTCAAAGCTTTAGAAGACTGCTCCTCAACCATCCCAGGCCTGGCCCTGCCTTTTGTTGTTGCCATGATAATTGCAGTAATTCAAGATGGCCTGATTTGGAAAGGGAAAGGAATGTTCCCTGTTTGCTCGGCTAATGCTGGAAACATTTTGTCACACAGGGGACGGGGGAGCATCTCTGGAGATGATGTCTTAAGTTTGCAAAGGGAAAATTAAATAGCTGGGCGTTGCGTCATCTGAAATACTAGATACACAAAAATATACATCAGCTTTACTTATTGGAAGTTTCTTACAGGAAATGAATCAGTATGGGGCTCAGGGAGGTTTGTCAGCAGTGGGTATGTGTGTGGACTTATTTTCATAGCTTGCATGACCATTTCACATTATAACCCTGTGTAAATAAATAAAACATATAAACCAGAATTCACTTTGATTCAGTGTTATTATCAAACCCACCCCCATAAGGCCCCAAATGCCAAATAAAGGTTTACAGGCAGAGGCCAGACATCTGCTGCCCTCCGATTGGTTGAGAAGCCAGCAGCAGTCTCACCTGTTATCCACAGCCCAGTGCATGGTAAACACCCTCAGTCAGAGCTGCAGGGAGAAGGAGCCCATCTGGTCAGCAGCATTAACAACCAGCTCTTTAACAATGGCTTCCAGGAATAGGAGAAGGGTACAACAGGCCATATCAGCCAATAAAAACAGGCTATGCATGACATTTAGCGCCTGATGCGGGGCTTAGCGGTATACAGGTTACCTACTGTCCGCACCAGCCCCTGGCAATAAAACAAAAGGCAATCTCACAGAGCGAGGGGGATGCTGTGTGTAAAGCCGCCTGTTCCAGCTGTTGATCTCATAATATGTGTGTAAAGATGCAGGCAGAGCGTAAAGTTAAAAAGCATGAAGGGGTATCATTTTCAGGGTGCTTTCATACAAACATCACACAAGGCAATACCTTTAGTTATGCACACACAATCATTTCAACTCTTTATAGTAAGTGAGGAAGTGTCATTGCATGGACAGCTAATTTTCTTTGTGAAGGATAGCTTTTTTGGGGGGGTGTAAATAAGAAAAACATGAAGCAGAAGAGAAGAGAGAGCAGTGTTGATAGATGTAGCTGTCAAAGTAAAAGCAGTGGAGGGCGTTAAAGTGGTTATTTGGCTAAACAGTGCCATCTTGTGTTCAGTTATACTCAGATAACCAAGAAGGCACATATGACAAATGGAAAAAAACAAATAGCTGTAATTTTCAGTTAACATACCCTTGTCTTATGACAGTAGATGAAGAACTATTTTATAAATAATGTGCACTTGAGCCACATCCTAATTACTACCCTGCCCTTGCACACAGTTCAGCCCTCTAATGTAGCTTTCTGTGATGCACTGCCGCAGGCCAGAACATAACCCTCATCCACAAAATTGACTCTAACAAGTTAGGAAACAGGGGTAACTCTGCCTTATTAGATACTTGATGGGGCTCTATTTTTACAGCTGCCCCCACCTAGCATGCAAAGGATGAAGACAAAGTCTCTAAATGAGATCTAGGGAATACAAAGAGGGATGTGAAGACGGAAAGGTTCGGGGTGGAGTTTGAACAGCAAGCAATGGGCTTTCTACAGCTGCTGGCACTAATGAGGATAATTACCCCAGTAATAACATTAGCCTATCTGAGGGAATGGAGGGGAAGGACAAGTGGTGGTGCTTATGTGTGTGTGTGGGTGGGTATGTGAGCGTGTGTGCGTGTACATGGTTGCCGTATGTGTGCGTGCATGCACAGCCGTGCGCGTGCCTTTTCCTTCTATCTCACTTGCAGTCTCTCCCTCATTCCCTGAATCTCAATATCTCTTTGTTATCCCACAATAATTGTATTTGGGCCTCATATCCGCCATATCAGATTCGAGTTTGTACAAGGTAATTAGCAGGGGAAGGGAAGCCTCCACACCAGGAGGACAAATGCCCCCATGACATCATTCTGGCTCCACTCAGGAGGGGAAGCTTTTTTTTCCTCTGCCTCTTCCTCCTCTTCATCCTTCATGTCATTCAGCTGTCAAAAAAAGGAGCACTGAATAGAGGCAAAAATGTAGTGGCAAGCGAAAGTTGATGACATTGGAAAGGAGGAGAGCTGGGATTAAGAAGATAAAGAAATGAAGAGAAGAAGGAGAGATAAAGGAGAGAAAGGGGTGGAAAGTGATTTGAGATGAGATGGAGGGCTGTGTTTTCGCTGCAGGCCTGTAATCTCCAATCAGCTTTGACTAACAGACAGCGGGGGAAAGTTCCTCGGCGTTAATGCAGCTTGCCATTCAGGAGGAGCTGCTGTATCCAGCTGGGAGTCGGGGGATGAGGGGAGGATTAACTGGCACTCAGGTGGAGAGAGATGAAGAGAATCAGACGGAGACCCTGCGGATGGACACACCTTCTCTCGCTCCATCCGTCTCTTTTTTCTTCTCTCAGTGAACGAATGTACTGTATGTTTTCTGGGTGGAGTGCTGAAAGCAGGAGAAAGTGGCAGAGGCCATACTTTAGGGGTGACTTATATCTGCAATTTGTATCAGTCATGTCAAATTAAATGTTTTGGAGAAGAGTCAACAGTTTCCTTAGTATGCCAGTGTTCAAGGGGTTCTTATTATTGTCCATGTTTATTATAACCATACAACACAATTGAGTAAACTCTCCACAGCAGTTAACAAGAGTGATTTATTTCTTGTCATGGTGCAGTAAGAAGGTGGATAAAAGCAGATGTGATATTTAATTATAATGACGTGATAGCTCTTACAGAGGAGCAGTGAGCTGTGACTGACAAACATTGTGCCCTTTAATTTAAAGTATGTCAGCTGATCCTTTAAGGTAGACCTTGTTGTTTGGTCATATAAGACTGATTTAAATGAATCCCGGGTAATCTCCAGATGCCAGCTGTCCATCAGCACTGCCTTCCTCCAGATGATCAGAGCACTCCTGCTCCTCCTCAGCGTGGCCTTTCATCACCTTTACCACTGGAGATGAGAAACATTTGGAGTAAGAATATACAGCAGACCAAACAACTAATCAATTAACGGAGAAAATAATCATTAGCTGCAGCCCTACTTTCAATATAAGTAAATAAATAAAGACGTTTGCTCTTACAGTCTACAGTATGACGCTCAGAGACTCACCCTGTCTCAATACTGTGAGCTGTGCCGATGCAGACGTTTCCCCCAAGGCATTGTAGGATATGCAAGAGTAGACTCCTGCATCAGAAAGGTGGAGGCCCTGTATCTGAAGCCAGGTAGACACAGTGTAGCGCTGGGGACCGCCCCGAGCCTGAAAAACAGACAGGATTCAATGTCAGGAGATGATTTGAATCTATTCAAATGTGAGAAATGTATGCATTAGATTTTTGTCGGCAGTATGGGTGGAACAAGAAAGCAATTTTGTATCATGAATCATTGCCCTGTTGTGATCATTTACAAGCATCAATATCAGCTTCCTTTCTTCTTTTCATATTGTTATCAACTTGTGGAACAGCTCTGAATTTTGGTTGATGAGCATTTAGGAAGTGCATGACTGTGTACAAGTCAACGAGAACACAATGTTGCATGGATGTTGTTCATTTCTACCACTGTGTCTCAGTAGAAGTGTTTGTACATTTGCCTTTTTGGGGGTTATGTATTTCTTTTGTTGATGTTTCTTAGATGATTGTCTTGCAATATAACGTAATCAAATCAGTTGCACTGAATCACCATTGCAATCTCTGTCAATATATTGTGATAATATTGTGAGTTATTGATTCCTATCTCAGCCTCGGAAAATGGTAAAACATTGACCGGTGGGATTCAAGTTTAAAGAGCTACTCCGGCGATTTTGTGTGGCACTGCCAAAAAGCTTGGAGTCTCAAAAAAGACACATTGAAATACAGAATGATTGAAATTGGAGCAGCAGAGGCAGACATAACCTGACTTTCCATCCGTAGTATGGGTGAAGCTCCAAAAACACTGGATCCTACATTTCCCACAATGCAATTTAGTAGCATCTTTTTTGGACAGCTCACTCCAGAGCCACAGGAGACACTATACAACTATTTTCACAGGCTGAGTCGTACCCCTCGTGATAAATTAACTGCACTCCCTATGTGAAATCTGTGAAATGTCTATTTAATCAAAAACATCTTCATCTATTTTGCAAGTCGGGAAAACAAAGCTCTTAAAATAAAAATTACAGACTCAACAGGACACAGTTCAAACAAAGCACACACTATTAATGAAACTTTCAGTGATGCATAATCAATGCCTGTCTATTTCTTTACATAAATATGGAATTTTCTCAATACTAAAATTAACTGTATAAAAAAGAAAAATACACCTCGCTACTTTCAAACCACATTCAATGTTTTTATCCTGTAACTTCATTGTTTGCCCTTTTTTTTCTTTTTATATAATGTTGAATATCCACCCAAAATATTCTAGACGGATTATTTCTACTTCTAATTCACAGGAGGTACATGAATATTCAATATCACTTCTAAATTTCTCCAGTCTCTTTGTTTTTTTTCTGGATATATTCAATGCTAAATTTAAAAAGAAACCTCTTTAACTTTAACTATTATAAAGATAGAATTTGTCTCCACCTAATCAGTTAATTTCACCATAAAACAAAGCCCAACAGAATCTTGGGGGCAGAGATTTATTTGAGCATTTATTCCTCGTAATATCAACTTCTCTATGGAATATATCAATGATCAAATCCTCAATACTAAACCTCTGAGAAACTGCAACACACCCCTTGGCAAAGCATCAAAAACCATAGCCTATACCGGTACTTTGGGCGTAACTGGTATTTGAAAGGAATTCATTATGCGTCAGTATCTGTTTACCCGAATTAATAAGTTGTTAAACTGGTACGATACCATTGTCAACCCATTTCCCATATTCAAATGAATATTCTTGTATATCCAAATGGAGTAATGATAATATGGTAATATTTATAAATTGTATAGTTTATGGGCTAGCGGAGTTTGTTTATGAAAATATGCTAACTTAACGGGCAACTTATCGATTTTGTAATCACATTTTAGCAGAAATTTAACTCCAGCCATTGAACTATAAATATTTTTAGGGAAGGAAGTCCACATGTTGCCTTTTTCTTTAATCAATTTAGTTAACCATTTCACCTTGAAAGTAGTATTTACCTGGACAGAGATGTGAGGATCATCTCCCGGCAGGAAGTTTTCAATCCCTGTCTTCTTCCAGCCCAGGTTTGGAAGAGGGTAGGCTGAGACCTCGCAGCCAAACACGATGTCATTCCCGGTGTAGTTGAACAGGTTTCTGGGGCCTCGAAGGACACGGGGAGCTGTGGCAGAAGAAAAGGAGTAACCCAAGGTTCACAACTAGGGCCCCTAAAGTTCTCTATCAAGACCAATATTCACATGCATTGACATTTTGAAAATAATAACTTTCTTGCACTAATAACATATGTAAGAAAAGAGTTCATTAACCAGAGTGGCAGGGTCCTGTTCCAATGAGCCCGAGGGTTATATTATGGCGGCTGCCGGCCTCTCTCATCTGGCAAACATTTGGATAGGTCCACCCATCTGAGCCACACACAGGGTTCTTGTCCTGACATACACATGTAGGCTCTGGCTCAGCCCTGTGTCCCCTCTTTGGCATTTTCCTCTGGCAGATTAGGCCCTCTCCACAGCGGCCGTAGAACTTCTGAGCCCCATCCGGGTCACATTGCTGCCCCTCCACGTTAGCACACTGTTCACAGCATCCACATTCGTCCCACACCCGACCTGCAGGACAGTTGTTGGGGAGTGGGGGACAGAGGTGCTGATTGCACTCCCTGCAACCTTCACCCTCCTTCCACAGCCGCAGCCATCCAAGGTGCTGGGGTGGCAACCCGAGGGAAACGTGGAGCCATACACTCATGGAAATACACACACACAGGCAGAGCTTAGCCATGCTGCTGACCTGCATCAGCAAACAAAGTCAGAAACAAACCTGATGTAACAACTTGAAGGCACAGAGTTGATCCAAAAGGAGCTTGTAAAATGGTTTCAAACTGAACAGAATTTGTAAGAGAGATGGCAGTCCTGATTGCCTGCTGTTCTCTGACAGTCAGTCACATGTTGTTCCCCCTCTGAGTTTTAAATGTTTCCTTCTGTCTCCTCTCCTCTGTCCTCCTCTGAATGGTTGGATTGGTTTTCGTTGTTATTATTACCTACCATGTACCCCTGCTGAAGTGTTTTGCCATTTTGTTTTCCTCCCTTGAGATTTCTTCATCAGCTCCAAGTCCTCTCTAACAAAGAAACGGAATTCTCAGTGAATGAAGCAAGCAAACTTCATCTCTAAGGTATCCGACTCGTCTCATCTTTCTTTCCTTGCAATTCTGCTGCCTTTCTTCATGTGCCAGTGTCTCTGGGCAGGGCAGGACTGGCAAACGGGCTTCAGAAATGGCACAGGATATAAAAGAATCTTGCTGAATCTGAACTTCACACAAAGGTAATGGAAAACAACAGCTGTCTATGTGAACATAATGATCCCAGTATACATTTTAACATGCACTATTTAGCATACAAGGAAATTAAGTTAAGAGGAAATAGAGCCCTATTTTGTGAGCTCTCTATCTAGTGGAGTAGTGTGAAATTCCTGGGTTTGGAAACCTTTTTTGATGATTTCATGATGATTTCTGTTAAAGTTGTGGAGCGTGAGCGCAAGTATTTGACCATAAATTGAAAATATGATGTGTGGGAAAGGACACATACACAAAAAAATTAAATAATACATAACTGTAGATATGAGATTATTGTTTCTCAGAATTAGGGATAAGGTGTTTCTGCTGGTGTGCCGGTCTAGATATTACTCATGTCAGATGATATATTGTAGCCTACCAAAATAACATGGGGCTTTGAGACTTGGTTTTTCTCCTCTAATTCAATTTGAATATGTTACAAATGGTTGCTGTTGTTCTTTAAGTTTGTGATATAGGCCTAATTATATATGTTTATGAATATTACCATTTGGATGTGCCTTTCTTAATACATTCAATAACAGAGAGACATTTACACTGTACATATATGGATTACTGAATGGGCCTACCTGGCACAGGCCCAAAGGGTCACAGGCCCCCCTGGCCTTCACTTGCACAATGTCATCCAAAATAACACGTACTGACCAGGAAGAGATTTAAAATGACACCAAAAGGGACACAACAAGAGCACAAGGAGATGCAAAGGAACTGCAAGAAGACACAAAAATCTACAAAAACAGACAAAGAGACAGAAAACGACCACAAAGAGTCACAAAATGACCAAAAAATGCACAAAATTTTCTGAAAAAGACACAAAACAACCACAAGGTTACACAAAATTACAACAATAAGACACAAAATGGCTACAAAGAGACACAAAACAACTACTAGAAGACACAAAATGACAAAAAAAACATACAAAATGACCTCAAAAGGACAAAAAATAACCACCAGAAGACACAAAATGACAAAAAAAACATACAAAATGACCTCAAAAGGACAAAAAATAACCACCAGAAGACACAAAATGACAACAAAGAGACACAGAAAGACCGCAGAGACACAAAATGAAAGAGATGCAATCTAACTAACAAAGGACACAGAATTACCCAAAATAGACACAAAACAACCACAAGGAGACACGAAATGACCAGAAAGAGACACAAACTTACTAAAAGAAAGACACAAAATTACCCCAAAAAGACACAAATAAACCACAGAGACACAATAAGACCACAGAGAGACACAAATATTCCACAGAGACACAAAATGACCCCAAAAAGGCACGAAACAACCACAAGAAGACACAGAATGACCACAAAGAGACACAAACTGACTATAAAGACACAACATTACCCCAAAAAGACACAAATCAACCACAAGGAGACACAAAATGACTATGAAGAGATGCAAAACCACAAAAAGATGAATAACAGTGACAAAGAGATGCAAAACCACAAAGTCTTTGTGCATTGCTCTTATGTCAGAGAGGTGGTGGGGCCCTTTGCATATCTGTGCCCAGGGGCCCATTGTCTCATAATCCATCCATGGTTTTGTATATTTCCAATATGCTTTGTGTATGTGTATCCATTACGTAAGTCCTGTACGGCTATGGTCTGGTATAAGAAGGCTTTGGGCTCTGTCTGTGACGGGAGAGTGTGGCCGGCAGGTAGATTAACAATAATAAAACAATACAACTACCTTTTATTGTTGTGTGCAAACTGGATGGACTTGACTGAATTCAGACATATATGAGAAAAGTAAAAGTGTCTGTAGTTAGTTTAGCTGCACTTGCATTGCAGCATATAGCTTTGGTGTGTGTGAATGCTCTGGATTGTATTTGTTTAGTTACGTGGCACTTTCCCTTTGCCGCCCGGTGTGTTACGGATTGTACACGGTGCTGGATGCTCAGCACAATCACCTCCCTGTGTGAATGGTCGGAGGCGTGGCTTCATTAGTGGTGTGTCTGACGTTGCTGCATGTGAGGCGTCACGTACCACGGAGGTGACTTCAGAGGACCGTTAATTTTACGACCGTGCATAGACTGCATCCGTAATATACTTCAAAATAAAACCTGAAAGCTGAATAATGTCACGTTGAACACAAGTTTGTCGTCAGTTATAGTTATTCCTTATGGTACTGCATCACATATTTGTCAACTGATAGATCACAGTTCACGCTAAAGCTCATTTAATGTCGTGTGGTGCGAATTAAAGAATGTGTGTGCTTTTATTTTGAAAAGAAAAGTACAGAAAATGGCGCGCTAATCATTAACTTAGCTCCGTGTTCCACGTTTCACAGGAAGTAAAGAAATGTCTGAAGGAGAGATGGGAAACTTCACTTAATAAAGTGAAAGATAAACCTCCAGTCTGTCTTCACAAACACCTCCTTTGCTTCTACTGACCAGTTTCATCAAGACACCTCGCCGGGACCGACAGTTTACATTCCTACCAGGAAATACAGTGAGTATTTTCACTGACATTTCAATCATTCCGTACTATGTGGTGTCATTTTGACAGTTTGTCAATGAAGTTGTGTCTTTGCTCACTACATTGGACTTTAGTTAATTTACTTAGTCTTGGGTGTAACTGGCTAAGACGTAATGGGTACACGGTGACATATTAACGTATTAACAAAACACATTGTAGGTGTGGTTTTTGGGAGGCTACACTTACATACAGACCGTTACTAATCAGTTTTGATTTTACTGTATAGTCTGTATAGCCAAATAATACAATTGTGAAGTAGGAAAATAAGAAGACAGTTAAAGTGTAGCCTGGATTTCATGTAGTCACTTGTATGTGAGTGAAACAAACTGTGTTCATGTCAGTAGTTTTGAATGGAATTATATCATAAAACTTGTGTGAGGCAAAGTACAAGGAAGTTGACATTTATTTAGAGTCCTTAGAAAGTATGCTCTCTCAAAATACAGTGATAGCCCCTACAATGTAAAGTAGTAGGTACAGATATTATCCTGCAGGCACTTTAAGTGTTTTATGTTGACAGGTTGAAGCTTGCACTGTCTGATATATGGGACAGTGTGGGTGGGTTCCTTATCTCAGCTGGGTCTAACAAACCTTTCAGGTTGCTCAAATGGGCTCAGACTAAAGGACATCCTGTTTTTCCAGAGCAGGTCTAGAGTGTCGCCTCGAGCTATTCTGTTACTGCTAAAATATGTCACCTGAAATAACCACAACAGGTATTTGAATGGACGGTTGATTGTATGTACTCGATTGTGTGTTGTATTTGACAGGTGAGAGAATGGCAGAGAAGGTGCTGGTCACAGGTGGAGGAGGCTACATTGGGAGTCACTGCGTGGTGGAGCTCATTGATGCAGGCTACCAGCCAGTTGTGGTAGATAACTTTAGTAATGCTGTCAGAGGTAAGCTCCCTTAACAAAGGCCGATGAATGACTTTGTACGTCATTGTCAACATGGCATTTCAACATATGTTTGTTTAATGCAGTGTTACTCATATCTCATATTACTCTGTGTGTGTGTGTGTGTGTGTGTGTGTGTGCGTGTGCGTGTGCGTGTGCGTGTGTGTGTGTGTGTGTGCGCGCGCGCGTGTTTGTTTGTGTGTGTGGGTGTGTGTGCGTGCTACATCCTGTTGTGTATGGAGGAGAAGGCGACGTGCCAGAGAGCATACGTAGGATAGAGAAGTTCCTTGACACCAGCATTGAGTTTCATGAACTAGATCTTCTGGACAAACCTGGCTTGGAAAAACTCTTCAAAAAGGTGAGCAAGTTACTGCAGCTGATTTTATTAATCTTAATAAAATTGGAACAAGCACTCATTTCACTTCTTAGCTGATAGACAGAAAATTCACCTGCAACTATTTTAATAAGCAGCAAACATTTTTAGTCATTTTTCATACAAAAATGACAAATGTCTAATGTTCTCAAATGTGAGGATTTTAGGCATTATTTTGTCATGTATGACAGTAAACTGAACACAAAGAGAGCTTGGACAGTCTGTTAGATAAATCAAGCCATTTCAGTATGTCAGCTTTGGCTCTGGGAAATGATGAGGGCATTTTTCACTAGTCTGAAGACATATTATAGGCACTTGATAAAAGGATCAATCAAAAAAATATATGGATTGATGGATAATGTAAATAACTGGTAGTTTCTCTACATGTAAAAACAAAATGTGTTATTTTCCTAATCTGTAATATTAATATTATTAAATAAACCCGGGGAGACTCAATCTTTGATGAATGAAACATAAACTAATGCATATTTTATTTTCATGGCTGTTTATTTACATGACCCATCCCTCATGGGATTATTCAGACACATTAACCAATTACAAACCAAACATTCTAGTATGATAACCTCCCATCATCCAACAGTACAATACATAAACTGTCATCCAGACATTAACACAAACATTATCAAGCCCTAAAAAAAGACATAAACCTCCCACAACCAAAGCTTTGAGAGATATCCCACTACAAAAAATAAAATACAAAACACAGCCCCCTGAGTACAAGACACAATACATAGATCCAGCCAAAACCAAATCGACATCTACGTGAATCAGTGTCAAATACTATTTGGTCCAGTTCACTAATAGTCCGCAGTCCATACAAAACCAAGTCAGAGGGATCCATCACAGGTCACTTTTCTTCTCTTATCCCAAGCCCTAAAAGATACTCCAAGAATGCCAAAACATTATCAAAGTTGTATTCGATTAAAGTTTCATTAGCCATACCTATCAAAACCTAATTTAGGAATTTGGACTTTTTAATTAACAAAATTTATTGTAAATCATGATATAAAGGGCAGTATAGAATTAAATTAATTTCAAACAATCAGGGCCATCTCATACATAAACTAGTATTCATGTAATTTCAAGCTTTTGTAGACTTCTGTTTGCTTGTTTTTTACCAAAGAATGTTCCCACTGGCCACCGCACATTCTCAGGTTGCATTGAAAATAGGTAGTGTGACTTAATGCTATCATACTGTGTATTAGTTATAGAGAGTCATCATGCCAATCTATTTGTGTTTGCAGCATTCTTTCAGTGCGGTGATGCACTTTGCTGGTCTGAAGGCTGTTGGTGAGTCAGTGGAGCAGCCATTACGCTACTACAGAGTCAACCTCACCGCTTCCTTAAATCTGCTAGAGGTCAGTTTAAACTTTTGTTTTGTGATCTGACTCCATCTGTCCTCAGTTAAATCTGCACTTCACTTTTCATTTCAAGATTGAGCTTTATTTGCTTTTCGTCATTGTTCGCTGAGTGCATGACAGCGTGTGTTCATTTGATACTGAGTAGGCTCATTGAAACGCTGCATAACTTTTGACTCTTGGAGCTCACTGTGTCCGCCAGACTTAGCGTTTATGCTCACGTGTGTCTGCTTTAGACCGCTGACTGTACGTGTGTGCCGTGTTTGTTTGCATCTGCATGTGTCCCAGGTGATGCAGGCTCACAGGGTGCACAATCTGGTCTTTAGCAGCTCAGCGACAGTGTACGGAGACCCACAGTATCTTCCAATCGACGAGCAGCATCCGGCAGGGGGCTGCACCAACCCCTACGGCCAGACCAAATACTTCATTGAGGAGATGATCAAGGACCACTGTAAAGCTGAGAAGGTAGTGTTCAGAAGGTACAAAAGCATTTACAGATGCACACAAACACATATACATATGGTGTCTCATTATTGCCTGTGTGTGAGCAGGACTGGAATGCAGTGCTGCTGCGTTATTTCAATCCAATCGGAGCTCATTCCTCTGGCCAGATAGGAGAGGATCCACAGGGTATCCCTAACAACCTGCTGCCATATGTTGCCCAGGTACATGACCTCTCTGATAATTGTACAGCTTGATGAGAGCATGCTATGCGTATTCATTGTTTGCATTGCTTAATTCATCTCTCTCATAGGTTGCCGTTGGGAGAAGAAAGTGCCTCAGTGTATTTGGGAACGACTATGACACAGTTGATGGGACGGGTAATGGAGAAAACCTTTAACTGCAGTGCACAAATTTGATTGTGGTTTAAAATATTCTTTTGGGCAGAGAGCTCAAGGTTTTCTCTCTCTTGCTAGGTGTGCGAGATTACATCCACGTCGTAGATCTGGCAAAAGGACACATAGCAGCTCTGAAGAAGCTGAAGGAAGACTGCGGCTGCAAGGTACATTTGAGAAAGGAGCAAAAGCACTGTAAAACGTATTCTCTAGTTCATTGTGCATTCACATCCATACATGATTGAGTTACTTATGGAAGTGCTGGCATGTGTGCATGATTGTGTCTGTAGGTTTACAACCTGGGGACAGGAACAGGCTACTCTGTGCTCCAGATGGTGGAAGCCATGAAGAAGGCATCAGGTAAAGAGGTGAGTGACAGAGGTGCTCTTTTCTCTCCAAAGTAAATTGTCTTTAGGGTCGGGGATTGTATTGTGTTTTCTGAGAGTAATTGAAGTGACTAGGAGCAATAACCCCACGACATCGTGTTATCGTGTGCGTTAAATGATGGCCAAGCTGACACTGACTTTGAAGGTGGCGCCCAATCCACAGGAGTTGCCACTTTTTAGGCTAGACTACTTTCCTTTTTGTTGATTAAACTAAATGCGTCTTCTCTATAGATCCCACACAAAGTCGCCCCACGCAGGGCAGGAGACATAGCATCCTGTTACGCCGACCCTCGTCTAGCTGAGAAGGAGCTGGGCTGGAAGGCTGAATTTGGCCTGGAAAGAATGTGTAAGCGCAGCCACACTGCCAAAATCTATATGTATTTTATAGAGATTTTTGTGAAATCTTTCCACACAATACCCTAATGTTGTTTTTTTCCTACCCATGCAGGTGAGGATCTTTGGCGCTGGCAGTCCATGAACCCCACCGGATTCACCAATGGCCCATCCTCTTGATGTAACTTCAGCCTTTTGCTGTCCTTCAGTCCTCTTCTGAATCACCAGGCCAAAGCAGACCATCAGCGTCCTCATTTTTGCATAGCCTATAAACCGATGACTGACTTCATATTCACATCTAATTTTCCATTTGTTCTCTATTAATGGTTTTTTACTGTTTACATCCAAGGAGAGGCGTGTAAACATGTCTGTATGATTTCATTGTGTTGTTGTTGTTTCAAATTAAAAATGGATTTGTTCTCCATTAATGTATTGATGTGTGAGCCATAACAATGAAAGAATAAATTAATTTTCTTACTGAGGAAAGTGACGCCTTCATTTCCCACTCCACTGTGAAACTGGACTGTTTCAAATGATTGTAATTAAACAGGATTGACTGTTGCAATGGTGATTCCATTATGAGATGAAAGGAACATTCTTGAGTGACACACAAAAACAAAAGCGTAAGAATATTATAGTGAAAGATACTCACCTGTAAATATAATAAGGGTGCTAAAAAAGTCTATTGAGCAACACAGATTATTATAGTGATGCAAAGGCAGATTAAATAAATGTACCAGTACGATATGGTCAGTAGAGGGTTGGAGTCTCACAGACAGGCTAAAAATCCCTGCAGAATTACTGTAGAAATAATACACAGTTTTACATAGGTGGGGTATTCAGTGTTCAGTGTTAATATTCCGTCCATACAACACATAAACGGGGCACTAGGGCTTTAAATGGCTCCTTGAACCCTCGGGCACCCAGTTAATAAACACCCACGTCAGCACAGTGCTCCAGTCGCTCTAACCGGGTTTCGGTCTTTAGGGCTGAGCAGGAAGTGCCTGGCTGTGGACCCTGGACGAGAAAAAAAGAGCCAAGAAAAAAGGCAGAAGAAATTAAAAATGGAAATGGTGGCAGACTTGGGGGCGAGTAGACTCTATCGGGCGCCGGGTGAATCAAGTCACCAGTGAGTATCGATGGATTTTGTTGGGGGGTATCACGGCGTGGGGCGTAAGCGGGTCCTGCCGACACCTCACGCCTGGGAAAGAGTCGCTGGGTTTGGGCAGCAGGCAAATCCTCCCCGCTGCTCGCTGCGCTCCGGACCTCCGGCGAGAAGTGGGGGTGGTCTTGAGGATGAAAACGGGCGTATTAGCGCGTCGCATCCCTAATATGATATACCATGCGAATATATTTATTTTTCATCTCGCAGCATGCTCAGTTGCTGGAGGTTTGTGTCTATTTTTCTATTGTGTGCTGGCCGGAGCCTGAAGTGGGCGTCGCTCCAGGACAGACTGGGCTGCTCCGGTGCGCCGCTGCCCGCTTTTCTCTCGCAGGACTGCAGCACAGTCATGTCGTTTTGTAGGTCGACCGATGCCTGAAATGAGGGAGAATAGCTCGGTGGAGACGCCAGACTTGGTTTCGTGTGACATGGGGAGCAGTGTAGAGTCTCAAGGGCGGGTGTTGCACCGTGGGTTATCGGGCGCTGTGGAGCCTGTCAGCAAGCATCGCATAATGAAAAATGAATGCGTGTAATTCAGAGTCTACGTGAGGATGGCTAAATAGGTTACTATAGGAAAAGAAGAACTATTCTGCAAATGAGATTGCGGCATTTTTTTGTCCCTCTCTTTAGATGACATGTCCGGTTACAGTGCTTTATTTGCTCTCACCAGTCTGCTGTGTTTGTAACATCAGCGATTTCATGCGCGCTTTAGCTTCCCTCGGGGATGATTACAGGGTTTTGCCACCCGATGCTCTCTGACTGGAGTCGGGTGTAGCCCATTAGAAGAAGATTTTGATTGAAGGCTCGTCCAGCCAATCACAGTGCAGAATGGAGACCGGTGGGCGGAAAGTCTGCGGCGCTGGAGATAGTCCAGTGCAGAAACAAAGACAGGGGAGCACTGACAGCTACATCAGTGGGGGTGTCACTGGTGTGCTCACTGTGTGACCTGCTGGGGTCTGTTGTGTAACCTTTTATCAAGGTAAGCTGACAGTCATAAGGTCAGATGTCCCATGAATCACACTGCAGGAGCACATGCTTCCCTCCTTAACATGTAGGGTTTTAAATTATATATCACTATGAATGCATAGGCTCATACATGTAGGTTATTAATTCAGCATCATGAAGATGGATGTGTCTCAATGTCAGTGATGAGTGTCCACAAGCCCTCTGTTATTCTATCTATACCGCATGCACAACCAGTGTGAGTGCTATCATGTTGTCTCCTGCAGGCAGCCTCAGAGGTGGTTCAACACCGCTGACATCACAGTGGCTCACCAAAGTAGCCTGCTTAAGCAGCTCAACCAGCAGCGCCGCCAGGAGCTTTTCTGTGACTGCAGTGTGCTGGTGGAGGGCCAGCTCTTCAGAGCCCACCGCAACGTCCTGTTCGCCAGCAGCGGCTACTTCCGCATGCTGCTGTCCCAGGGCCCCGGCGTGCTGTCTGACTCCGTCAACGCCACCTTTGACGTCTTCAGCCCCGAGACCTTCACCGTCATCCTGGATTTCATCTACTCAGGCCAGTTGGACCTCTCCAGTCACAATGTGATTGAGGTGATGTCCGCAGCCAGCTACTTGCAGATGAACAATGTCATCAACTACTGCAAGAACTTCATCAAGTCGTCCTTGGACATCAGTGTGAAGGATGAAGACAGCGAGCGCTGCCTCAGCTTGTCTGAGACCTGCAGTTTCACCAGTGGAGCGGGAGAAGAGACCACAGAGCAGCAGCAGCAATGCCCCAGCTCTGTCAGCCCACCACCAGCCCTCTGGACCCGGGACAACTCCAGATCCCAGTCTAGCTTTATGGGGAAGGACCCAGAGCAGGAGTCATCAGCCTCTGTCATAAAGACTAACCCAAGCAGCCCTGCTGATGATCTCAACACAGAGGTAGAGGACCTGCACGACCCTCAGGACCCTCTGTACACCTTGCCTGGATCGGAGCGCCGGCGAAGCAGAGGGGCAACTAAGAGGAGAGCATCCAGCAACACACGCTCCCACCACCCTGAAGATTTAGACATTCAGGAGGCGAGGACACAAAAGGCTGAAAAGGCAGAGGAGCTGTATGCCACTCTTCCACCTATTGTGGGTGTTATTGGACACTTTAATAAAGGTGAGTTGGCCTGTATGTGAGAGAACGGAAAGGCAGTAGTTCTCTAGAGAAGTGAGAAAAGGAACCACATCATCAGCAGACTGACATTAACTTTATGTAACCATAAAAAGAACACAGCTCTGTAGGAACAGTGATATCTAGGGAATAAACAGAAAAGTCAAAGCTCTGAACAGTTTCTCTTCCGCTTTGCAGACTCCAACCCCATTATGCGCTTCAAATGTCCCTTTTGCACACATACGGTGAAGAGGAAGGCAGACTTGAAGCGTCACTTGCGCTGCCACACTGGAGAGAGGCCATACCCCTGTCAGGCCTGCAATAAACGCTTTACTCGCTTGGAGCATCTTCGTAGCCATTTTGAGACGGTGGGTTTATTTACAACCAGGAGGTGAAAGCCATTCATTTTGGTTTAATAGTTTCAGAAGAAATGGTGATAAAGTTTCCACCCCAGGCTGCGCTATAGGATCGGAAGACAAAAGATGCATTGTTTTCTTATGTTTACAACCACTTATTTGTACCCATACAGCTACAAAAACACCAACCGGTTTTGTTTCTCCACAGATCCATCAAGCCAGGAAGCTGGTGTGCAGGAAGTGTAAGTGTCAGGTGACTGAGGAGACCGGGCATGTGGTGTGTGAGGGCACACGACGCTACCGCATGTGCACTGCATGCATCCAGGAAGTGGATTGTGATGACATCCCCATGGACAGTATGGATGCCGCCAATGAGGAACCGGCTCTGTTGCTGGGGGTGGACGGGGAGGAGGAGGGGGACAGCAAGAGGAGCTGGATGGTAACCGATGACGACGACCTGGCTGAAGACTCGGGGGCCGACCTCATCATCCAACAGGTGGACGACAGTGACGAGGAGCTGCAGTGAAATGGAACCAAAGTGTGTGTGTGTGAAGAAGCATAATACGAGTATTGACTGTGTTTGAGTGTGTGTGTGTGTGTGTGTGTGATAAAGCCACGCCAGAGAATTTATGCATAAAATATGCGACTCACTAATGTAAATACACAGTTATTATATATTAGTTGTCTATTAGTTAAATGCAACTCTTTAATTACTTTAAATGAGATGTTGACCTTTGTGACACGATGGAATGCTTTTTGTTAAGCTTCATAAATATATGCAGTATCCAAAGCATGCATATTCAGTGTTTCCTTTGCTTCAGTTATCTTTAAATAATTACTCTTGCAAATATGGTTTTTTATATGCATGGAAGTACACCTTTGCTACTCTTTGGGACTCTCTGCTTTGATAAAAGCTGGCATTTGTGCAAAGTGAAGTGACAAGGAAAGAATTGTGATTCTACTGCTATTTCCCTGTGTTCTGTAGGGGAAGTCAAGAGCAGACTTTTTGTTCCCCACAATGTCACACAGTTGCAGTTTTTTAATGATTATGTTTGATTATGATGTGCACTATGATACTATAAAAAACAATTATAATTTATTTGTTGTGTTTTTTACTTTTTGACACATTAAAGATATTTTTATACATTTGCAGTGTCTGTCTTTTCACCATATTTTAGTGTAAATGGAAAGTACAATCTAATGAGCAATACTACATTGATCGAGGATGGGAATTGGTGTCATGGATAAAAGCACACAGGTAGACACTGGAAATGCTGTTGTAACTACTGGCAGGTACTGGTTAAATTGCTTACCCACAATGTTACAATGTACCAGTGTTTTTGCATAAGCTGTAGCTGTGTTGTTTTTGTTTGGTCTTGTACTATTAGGTCCATCTCCATTCTGCTTCACACTCATACTGTAAAAATACTCCACCATATTGATCCTTTCGGATGACTGCTGGGCTCATAATCAAAACTATTTCAACCTTTTTCCAATGTATAGCTGCTCCACAAGGAGGTAATGCTTATTGTAAAGAAACTCAAACCTAGATCAATGTTGTTTTTTTAGCAGTAAATGTCTGAGCTGGTGTCAAAAGAATTTATTTTTAATTTCTTTGTACATTGTTTGATGACACAAAGGATTTTTAATCCACAAAGGTCTTTGGTAACCTGTATTAGAGGGATTTATCCCATCATATGCATCAAAGTGCTAAAAGACGTGTAGCAGTGTCATCTGTCACATGAGGATAGTCTGAGCAGAAAGTGTCAACATGGTAAACCACTTCTGAGATTTTATGATATATCTAGTGGGCAAAGGTGAAAAATTAGATGAGTGAGTTGGTTCCGTGGTACCATGCAGAGGCTCTCAAAAGGGTAATGTAGTAAAATACGCAAATACAATAAAATAAAGGCAGATTCTGTTTTCAAATTGCAACTATAATATTTAATTGTGTATACACTTTTTTTAATGTCATTTTAGAGAGGTATGTAAAGGCTTGAAAAACAAAAGTAACATGAGTATTCTTTTTAAAATCCCAAAAGCAAAAATATAGTAAGTTATTTTAAAATCCTTCATTTTTTTAAAAGTAAAAATTGTGTTTATGTAGTTGAAAATGATCATTTGACCAAAACGTCATAGTCAAAAAGCAGCTGTAAAAGAGGTCAATTTCTACAGGAAGAACTAACTGACATTACCGTTAGCGAAGCATTATAAACATATAGTTTTGGGTAAATATTATGTAGGATTTTTATACGTATTTAATTGGTAATGGGGGTTAAATTCAAATTAATACCTTTAATAAATTGATTCAAACATGATTTTTCGATTCAAATTCCCGGCCCATAGATGGCGCTTGCGGTGCTCTTACCATCTGCGAGGTCAACGTTCCTCCTCTTTCGGTGAAGAAGTGACGTCAGAAAAGAGGCTGAACCAACATGGCGGCTGTAATTAGGCTTGTCAACAGAAACACATTTAGTGCAGCAATGGGTCAACAGTATGTAGCGTTTAGCTCAGCAGCGAAAGTCAAAATAGTGAGTTTTATTTCCCTTGTATCTTCCAGCTAATTGTATTGTGCATGTTTAGCTAGCAGCCTGGATGACAGCGCTGGTTAGTTAGCTGTTAGCGTCCTCTACGGTTAAGCTAACACGGATACGTTTGGTAACCTAGGTGCTGCTAGTTATGCTACCAAGCTGAACAGGTCAACTATTTGTAATGTAACGCAACTTTACACCTGTATTAAATGTGTGTGTGTGTGTGTGTGTGTGTGTGTGTGTGTGTGTGTGTGTGTGTGTGTAGGCTGGCGTAAGAGCAGGTAAAGCTCTTCCAGACATGGTGAAAATAGTGGAGGTGGGACCCAGAGATGGACTCCAGAATGAAACGGTGAGATTATGTAAAAATAATTTGTTAATTTCATTACATAGCTGCCACTATGGCCAGGAAACATCTACATTAACGTTAACACTGCTCTGTTTTCAAGCATCCGTGTACAGAGATGGAGTAGGTGTACAGCTTATGTGTTATGTAACCAGTGTTTATTAAGCCTCATCTTCCTGCTTTACTGTTTCTACTCTAGACCATCGTGCCAACAGAGACCAAAATTCATTTGATTGACATGTTGTCAGCGTCAGGGCTGCCAGTCATTGAGGCCACCAGCTTTGTCTCCCCAAAATGGGTTCCACAGGTGAGTTTGTTCCCCCAGAGACATTCATGTGGAAAGTGCTGACGCATCCCACACAGGGCGGTGCAGAAACTGCAATGTGTGGAAATGGAGTGGCCTTGTTTTCTCCAGCATTAATTAGTTTCTGTCATGTTTGTCCTCATGTCAGATGGCAGACCAGGTGGAGGTGATGAAGGGCATCAGCAGGAAGCCTGGTGTGGCCTACCCGGTCCTCACCCCCAACCTCAAAGGTTTCCAGGCTGCTGTGAGTGTCAAGCATCATATACCAACATATTTTCCCAACGCAGCTTCTAATCCTGTCGGTGATGTGTCCAAAAAATTAATTTAAAATGCCTTATTCTTGCTTGTACTTACTACAGGTGAAGGCAGGAGCTTCAGAGGTAGCCATATTTGGTGCTGCGTCTGAGCTGTTCAGTAAGAAGAACATAAACTGCTCAGTGGATGAAAGTTTACAGCGCTTTGACGAGGTCATGAAAGCAGCAAAAGAGGCCGGTGTGCCAGTTAGAGGGTAGAATTACTTGCTCCCGCTTTACTCTCTACAAACATATAAATCATTGTAATTATAGGCTTTGATTTTTACTTGAGTTCCTCTCTCTGTTTCTTGTCACTGCAGTTACGTGTCGTGTGTCCTTGGATGCCCTTATGAAGGCAAGGTGGCACCTGAAAAAGTTGCACATGTGAGTTCTCACTTTATACATATTTACATTATGTGAACAGGCAGAAATGTATTCATTATCCTTTGACAAAAGACATAAATACAATGTAAGCACTGTCACTCATGAAACCAGGTCAAAATTTGATTCTGATCTTGCAGGTAGCTAAGCGTCTGTACTCCATGGGCTGCTATGAGATCTCTTTGGGTGACACTATTGGAGTGGGGACGGCAGGTAGCATGACTGAAATGCTGGAAGCAGTGAGCAAAGAGGTGCCAGTTAAAGCCTTGGCAGTGCACTGCCACGATACCTACGGCCAGGCCCTGGCTAACATCCTCGTAGCCTTACAGGTCAGACCTGGTTTATCCTAATGCTATTTGAAAATATCTGTAGCTGATTATTGTTGTTGCAGTGTTAATTTTAATTAGTTTCAAGGTAAAGATTGTCCTTGTTTTGCAGATGGGAGTCAGTGTGATAGACTCATCAGTGGCAGGACTCGGCGGCTGTCCGTATGCTCAGGGGGCTTCTGGGAATGTTGCTACTGAGGATGTAGTGTATATGCTGCATGGACTTGGAATTCAAACAGTAAGAAGGCACTATTTGTTTCTCTTTAGCCCCCCCCCAATCTGAAAGTAGAGACTAAAGATGCTGCTCTTGCATTATTTTTCTTATGAGGGAGGAAAAACTGCTCTTTAATCAATTAAAGGCACCATTTTAGCAGAATATTCCAGTCTGCCCTGTCACCATTTAGTTTGCAGTTGTAATTCTGTACGATGTGAGCTACCTCAAGTTTAACTTTCTGTCCTCATCTCAGGGAGTGGACCTCTCAAAGCTGATGGATGCTGGAGCTTTCATCTGTCGAACCCTCAACAGGAAGACCAACTCCAAAGTAGCGCAGGCCACCTGCAAACTGTAGACAAAAACTAAACTATAGGCTGTTGCACAGACTGCACACTTCAGCACAACCGTGTAACCCGGAGCTGTCACCTTCTGTATGTTCACTTCTCCCCTTTGGTAATTCTAGTTTGATTCATCCTCTTCCGGTGTGAGATTATTACTTTAAGATTTGACCGGTACTCCTGACCCCTACCTCTGTTAAGATTAAAACCGTAGATATTCACTACATGAAAGCATAGCTGGAACAAGTGCCTTATCTGTCTAATCATACAGATCTTGCTTATCAAAAGCTATGCCTTCACCCATTCATTGATAGTGTGCTTACATTCTTTTCTGGACAGTGGGTAAGCCAAAGTGAAGCACTTTGTTTATCGTAATAAATGAAGCAGTAAAAATGTCCTGGGGATGGATAATCTCACTGTTGATGTCAGAGAGAAGACGGAAGCGTTGCTTTGACTTCTGTCAGTGTGTATATACAGTGATCAGTGTCTTCAAATTAATTTTCTACACAGGGAGCATCTAAGGTAACTGTCACTCCTTATGAACTTGGGCATTGTACTGGCTTGTGAAAAAAAAAAATGTTGATGTGTGCTTTGTATTTATTGTAAAATGTCTCTTTAAATTTAACATGTACATATCCAACTAAATTTTAAAAAAAAAGTTTCATAAATAAAATCTGTCATTAATTTAAAATTGAGAGCACTGTGATGAATCTAAAGGCTCTGAAACAGGCCATATAAATGGTTTAGCAAGAACTAAAGAATTGGATTTGTGATTTCCGCCCTGTTACAGTCAACACCAGATGGGTTTTTTTCTTTGTGGAAGAAAATTTGATTTGAAGCCATCATCGACAAAATACGGATCATAGGTGGGTGTTAATCTTTGACAAACTCCATAGTGATTTAGCAGTTTGTTGCGGAAATGATTCAGGATAAACAAAAACTGTTTTCTTCACCACTCCTTTTTAAGAACCTGACTGACAAGTCTGACAGGCAGACTGAGATTCTTACTGCAAGCCTCCACAACCCTTTGACATACATCATGGGTATCGGAGACAAGAAAATAGTATGTCATGATGACTCACAGCTAGTTTAAATGGTGAAGTGCTAGTTGGCATGCAAGCCTGGTCATCGGCAGCGTAAGAACCTTCATTATGAGTCAGCAGTGATGGAAAAATTCAGTTCCTTATATAATAAGGATGATCAGAGAATAGCGTGGGAGTAAAAAGAGTCCCACATGTGTAAATGGCAACCATAGCAGCCCCTTAGAGTTAAAACACCAACCAAACACACGTTTAATAAATTTAATATATTTAGTTTTGTAAAAATGACTATTAACAACAAGTGCATAAAATACAATTCCACCTGATGTCCACAGTGGACGATTAGGGAGTCGCAAAAATGTTCAATGAGCCATCTGTTTGTGCGACTTCTCTTCCCAACTCCTCCTCTGTGCTCCCACTCTACCAACACAGAATTAAACAGCAGCATTCCTTTCGCCTTTTTTGAATCAACAGTGGTCTTGGATTAGGCGACTTTGTGTACAAGCACGTCAAAACACACAGGCGGCCTATGTACAGCGTGACCGTGCAGCATAAACCTGAGACCAAGCATATGTCCGCCAAGGCTTTAGATAAAGAAATATGTAAATGATACACACATTTTGTTGCTTATCTGAGAAAAAAAACTGCAGTTAAACATTTTTGGCCAGTTTGCACACCTTCAAGTATTACGCAGCCATAACTATATGACTTTGGAGCATCCACACTCCGATGGAGAATTGTTAACCATTCATCTATGTCATCAGGACAACAAATGGTGAGCATAAAGCTACTGTGTCAGTTCATTTCAACAAAAGAGATCACCGAAATGTACATCTAACATCCAGTGACAACAGAGCCCTGACACACCACTGTATACACTGGCAGGGAGGGTGAATTCCTCTGCCAGGTGTGTCCTGCCTCCTCGAGTGAAGCTTTCAGTTCATTCCCCTCCTGTCAAAACTCAGATAGCAAGAAAGACAGAAACCTCACAGGAATGTGCTAATACGGGTGAAGGGGTGATGTTGACAAGGCACACAGACCTGTACTGTATTCAAAAACCAACATATTAACAAATTGGCTTTTTAGCTGACTTGTAAATATTGAGTATGTTGACTTGGAACCCAAAGTTCATACACTCAAAAAAAGAGTCTGTGAGATGTGAACACAGGCGCCCATGGGATGAATCCAGTACTGATGACTCAGCTTCCAGGGTTTGACACATACTTTAGTTTGGCTCATAGTTCTGAGTCTGTTTTCTGAGGTTTATCATTGAGTTCTAGCCCAAGCACTGCTGATCTCTTGATCGTCAGCCTCAGCTCATGAAAGAGACAGATTGGGGGCAGAGGCCCGAATCTTCTCCTCATGTTTGAGTGCAGATACAGGCCGCAGTGAAGCCTTGAACGCACTCCTAAAGGATGGAGGCTTGTCCTTTAGGTCCAGCCTCGACGTATTCACTTCGCAGTCGTCAAAGGGGCCCTTGTTGGTGTAGTCCTCGTGATGCACGGCCACGTTGCGATTGCGCCTCTTGACCTTGTTCACGCATCGCACGATGCGTTTGGAGATGAGATATATGATCTCACAGATGTTTAGGATGATGCAGAGGGCCGACGCTCCGACCATGAAGTAGGTGAAGACTTTCTTCTCGGTGGGGTGGCCGATGTAGCAGTCCACCAGGTTGGGACAAGGATCCACGCCGCACTTGACCAGTCTTGGCAGGTAGAAGCTATCGTAGACACGGTGCAGGATGTAGAGGAAGGAGACCTCGATGCCCGTCTTTACGAAGAGGCTGACCAGATAGGTCCACCACAAGCCGCCGTGCTTCTTGCCTGTGTTGTTGTACAGCTTGCTGTTCTCCCCATGCTTTGCCCTGTGCTTGCGCTCACGGTCATCACGGTACGCCACGTGCATGACCACCATGAAGGATGGGCAGGTGACGAAGATCAGCTGCAGGGCCCACAGGCGGATGTGGGAGATGGGGAAGAAGTGGTCGTAGCAGACGTTGGCGCAGCCAGGCTGCTTGGTATTGCAGTCAAAGTCCTTCTGCTCATCTCCCCACACTCGCTCTGCCGCCACCACATACACCATCACCCTGAACACAAACACCACAGAAAGCCATACCCGCCCGAATGCGGTGGAGTATTTATTCACCCCGCTGAGCAGGGCTTGGAAGGTCTTCCAGTCCATGTCCTTGGCTGGCGGTCAAAGTCGTCTTTTCTGGAGTTCCTCTCTCACTGGTAGTAGTTTATCTTCGAACCTGGATGAGGCAGAATGAGGAATGAGTGAGCTGTTTTCATTATCTGCTGAGTATCCTGCTTTCACTCTCTTCAGTCACACATAACCTTTCATTCTGACTTTTTTTTAAATCTCTGATTTTTCTTCAAAAGCTGATTGAATGTGAAAACATCTCCCACAGGCCTCATTTATCAGCCCTACCAGAAACAACCACTAACAATAACACAGTTAGTGAGTAGGCCTCGAGCCAAACCGTTGAGGGAAACAAGTTGGACCAACGTTATTAACACACCCAGAGTTTATGAATATTTCAGAAAGCAGTACTTCCACTTTACAAATTCAAATCAAATATTTATTTAAGAAACAAAGTAAATACCATCAGCTGCCTGAACTGCATGTGTTAACACAAAAGCAGCCATTTAAACATGTACGGCTCTCAGGAAAACAGCCTTTTACGCACAGGCTGTTTGCGTTATCTGGACATATGGTCTTTTATAGGATTGGCTCATTACCGACATGAGGCGCTTCTACAACCACCCGGATTATTAATCGTTTCATAGATTGCTGTATAAAAGCCAGTGAATCGTTTCCAAATGGCTGAGACGCGAACTTTACGAAACTTGACTCATCTTAGACACATCAAAAGTTCACAAAAGCGGAGTTTTCACTTACCGAAAGAAGTATTAGTCCATTATTAGTTGACAGACACGCGGTTTCATATATTCCGAAGTGGTCTCTTGCCACTTTAATGTGGTTTTCGTCCTTTAACGCACGGATTTGGTTCCCCTCGACAGGTAAAGGAGCGCAGTGTTGAGAAATGCGCCTGTGGGTGGGGTTAAAGACGAAAATCTGGAACTACCCCAGATGTTCCTCTCTCCCTCCCTTCCCTCCCTCCCTCCTTCTCTCTGTCTCTTTCTCTCTCACTCACACCCCAGTGTTTGGTGGCAAATAATTTTGCATAACTGTTGTCACACTTAACATAATCTCCTGCTACTTTGAATAGGATTTGTAGCATGGGCGTACATGTGAGCAATTAAGTTTGGGACCAGATAAACCAGTGAGAGCCTTGGGGATTTGAGTCCACACATGGTTCAGATTCATGGGGGACCACCAGGGTCCAACTCCTGTTAGATAGGGTCAAATGAGGCAAAGTGTTCTCTCATCATTCTAAAGTTTAGAGGCGACAGATGTAGATCCATTGTTTTTGTGTTCCATGTCTCCAGGAAGTGCTTTGTCCCTGTCCCAACGTGCCTCTGAGTACTGCACACAGGAGGACGTAAGAGGCAGACACACCCTGAGGTGAATGCATTTTTTGTTGTTGTGCATGTCCTAACCCTTGTCTGGTTTCAGGTTTCCCAAAGTATGACTAAAAGATAAGTGTTGGGCAACATTTCCTCTGAGATTTTGTGAGGGTAGTAGGTACCTGAGGAAGGTGGGGTGGCAGGTGGAGAGGAGGTCAAAGTGGCGAGCTCAGTTAGAGTGAATTTGTCACAATGTAACGAGAAAAACAATTCCGTTTCCCTGTTCCTCTGAAGTTTATTTCCTGCACAAACATTCCTTCTTCTTTACTCAACACGAACACCAGTGCAAAAAAACCCATATTGTGTTTCCTTCATTCTTTTTGAGGCCAAGCTCTACTCAGATAACACTGTCACAGTTCATTAGCGCTTTTAAGCTCATCCGCATTGTCAGATCACGAGCTTTTGTCTCCACTTCATTCTTCACCTGCTTTCACCTCCAAACTTATTTTCCTTACACTATACAGATACCCATCAGACTGCTGTACGGTGTTACTGCTCTGTAGGGAAAACCCAGCCCCTCATCTGCGGTGTTTGCGGTTGGATTTAAGTCCTCAGATGCTGTTAGCATAATAAAATATCAGCTTGCTCAGAATGCCATAGCTGTGCCAGAGCCTGCCGGTTCTTGCAGACCAGTGTGTGCGTTCAGACCTATTGAATCCTGTATTTACATTATATGAAAGGATAAAAGACTCACTCATGTATCACTGGTCTGGAGTCAAGTCAAGTCAGAGTTATTTGTATTGCTCAGTAACAGTCACATACAATGTCTCACTGGGCTTTTTCTTTCAGGGACACAACTAAGCCCGACATTTCTAAAAGGGAAGGGAAGCACTCTCCAAAAGCTTTATAAGAACAACATGAATTATAACTGTAATTTACAGTATAAGGCTGTGTTGTAAGAGATGGTGAGATGGCACATGCACAGACTGCAAAGTTAGGTAATGTGATAATCAAGCTGAGTTGCTGTTTTTTTGTCTTCACTTTGTTAAAGTGCTGAAAAAATGAGATGTGAAACTAAAATGTGGAATGCAATTCATTTGTCTGGTACCCACAAGTGTAACCATTTTTTGTTGATTGTTGGTGTTCCCCAGGTCTTCTGGGTAGTGGGTAATAAGTGGACTACAACATGAATTTCTTCCTCTTCGTTTAATTCTTACCAACACGGCAAGACAGTACTACCAAATCCCAACTTAGGGGGTACGGCAACCTCCCTTCACTGTTAAGCACAAGGCACTTACTCTCTCTTATGTATCACTCATACCTGTCCCCACAAAACAAGGGCAGGTAGGATCTAATTAGCTCATAACCAAGGAAACACAATGACTCCGCTTAAACACTGGACATTAAATTACAAATGAAACAATATACAAAGTACTATAAATGACAATGAAATAATTTACCAGTAACTCAATAATTTACCAGTAACTCAATCTAATCTTTTTTTCAACCTGGGCCCTATTTTCCGATCTACTTTTGTCTTAATGAGTGATAGGATGTTCAATATTTGACATTCCTCCAGTACGAAGCTAGGGCTGACCTGCCTGCAGCCCGTGAGCACATGCTATATTAAATAATAGGGCACTGGAACAGTGTCAAACAACGTCAAAATGCGTCCACTAAAAGTGGATTTTTTTCACACAGATAGGCTCAGATTGTTAGGGTAATTATCCGACAACATAACGGAAAGGAGAAATGAATGTCTGTGTTTACCTTTAGCTGGATTCGGACATGTTCCTCTGCCTGTTGCAATTTTAGTGTATGTGCTACCGAAGTAACACTGCTCCCTCTCTCTCCTCGTCCGCTCTTCAGTTTCAATGAGTTCTGCATCTGTGTATGTCCGTGTTCAAATAAATACGGATGGTCATCAAATTCAAATGTCTCATCCAGATCCAGTTGGTCAAAATCAGGTAAAAAGTCAGCCATGACTACTCCAAACAGAGTAACTCCTCGTGTTTATACGGTCACTCCAGCGATAATTTCCTGCAACAACTCAAATCTCGCGAGACCTGAGATTTCAGAGCCAGACCTTCACTCTCTGAGTGAGTGTTTTGACTTGCCACAACAAACATGTCTGAATTTTTACCCGATTTTGACCAACTGGATCTGGCACACTGACGTACACGGACGTACACAGATGCAGAGCTCATTGAAACTGAAAAGCTGACGAGGAGAGAGAGGGAGCAGTGTTACTTCGGTAGCACATATACTAAAATTGCAACAGGCAGAGGAACATGTCCGAATCCAGCTAAAGGCAAATACACACCTTCATTTCTCCTTTCTGTTATGTTGTTGGATAATTATACTAACAATCCGAGCCTATCTGTGTGAAAAAAATGCACTTTTAGTGGACGTATTTTGACGTGGTTTGACGCTGTCCCAGTGCCCTATTATTTAATATAGTGTGCGCTCACGGGCTGCAGGCAGGACAGCCCTAGCTTCGTACTGGAGAAATGTAAAATATTGAACATCCTATTACTCATTCAGACAAAAGTAGATCGGAAAATAGGGCCCAGGTTGAAAAAAAACATTAGTTCCCCTTTAAGATTTAGAGCATGTGCATTTGTCCCTATCAATAAAAACATAAAAAATGGCACTGGTCTTTTGATTCAGATGACAAGTGATGCAGAAAAGGCACAAACTGGTCCATAAAATTCACAAGAATGTAAGAAATAAAGTGTTTGATGTGCAAAAAAATGTTCAGTTCAATTCAATTTTATTTATGAAGCCCGATATCACAGTCACAATTTGCCTCAGAGGGCCTTACAGCATATAACATCCCTCTATCCTTGGACCCTCACAGCAGATAAGAAGAAACTCCCCAAAATAAACCTTTAACAGAGAAAAAACATGGTAGAAACCTCAGGAGGAGCAACTGAGGAGGGATCCCTCTTCCAGCATGGTCTCATGTTGAAATAAAACTTACACCCTTGGTTATGACGCCTCTAAATTTAAACACTGCATCTCGAAGTCTTGCAGCCATGAGCTAAAACTCTCAGAGTATTGTTAGAAGTATCAGCTGCAGCTGTGCTTTTCAGGAAAATTCATCTGTGCCATAAAGCCCGGGCACATGAACATCTGTAAGTGCAGCATTTAAAGCAGTTCATCTGACAGTGATTGCATTTAAGAGAGAGGGGGGGAAGGGAAAAAAGAGTTGTCTCTCGCCTCCAGATGAAGAACTGGTCCAGGCAGTTGGCCAGGACACACCTGGAAGGAATGCATCCCAATGACTCAACCGCTGCCAGCCGCAAGTCTCAACAAGACCGACCAACACAAACAGGATAAACACATTACTTATCAGGGGTGGTACTGTGAAAGGAAGGAAATGTACCAGCGCAGAGAAGGCAGGGATGAAAGGAGGAATACTGCCTGAGAAGTGTTGGGAGGATCTTGAAAAGAGAGTGATAGTCGGCTTCATGTGAGGAACCATCCCGTCAGCCTTGACAAATAATAAAGACAAAGAGACTGCACACACTGGAGCTTGTTTATTTTTTCAGAGCTTGTTGCACTTCATATCTGACTTAACACTTGACTTGAGAGCTTTAATTGTTGCCCCACTGGCCCTCAGATAAGGAAAATTCTATCCATACTGTGTTCTTGTACATGGATGTGTAGACAATAAAGTTCTCTTGAGTCTCAAATCATCCACAAATACCTAGTTTTCCACTTCCTCATTGTGCATTCAGATATCCATCTGTGACATTCCTGCTGCCATCAAACACAGTGGAGATGAAAAATTACTTTTCGGCGGCAGCTTGTCTTTCCTGAAAACAGGGCCCTGGTTATACCATGATAATCCACAGACCTCTCTTGTTAAGAGTTCATCGGAACTACCGTCACCTGACATAGATATTAATGGTTCAAGTGACATCTGTTAACAGAGGTGCCTGCGGATTATCTTTTCATCGTTTGTTTAAAAACACTTTGCTGTTTGAGTTTTTAAAAATGTCATAGTTTATTGCTCCGAGCAGCACAAGCTATATTTATTCTCTTCTGTGGTATTGAGGTGGAGGCAGATATCTCCAAACCTCAGCAGAGCGAATTAAAAAATGTCCAACTGGCTCCACAAGAGAAGAAGAAGAAAATATGACTATTCATTCTCACTATATCACTTCTATGGGAGGTTGTAGTGTAAATACTGGAGTCATCCATTCAGAGGCGGCACTGACAGACAAATTCCTGCACTGGGTGGATCCACACTCGTCAGCACGGGTGATTCAAACTGAGGGGTGGGAGACTTCTCCTTTGCCCGTCTTAACGTACCAATCTACCCAAACAATGAGGGCGCTGCTCTTAGCAACAGAGCAATCTGTGCGCTGATGAGGGGGGAGGGCTTTATGAAACACATGGAAAAAGTGGAAGAAGGAGGAAAGTGGGAGATCTTTGTCAAACCACAGAACTTGTGCAGAATCAACAAACCCTTTGGCTTACATTGTTCTTCTACTTCCTATGCTTAGACATATTTTCTTTTACAGTATTTGTTATGGCGAATGGAGTGTGTACTGCTGTGTATGGGCTTTTCTAAACTGTCTTAAAAAACATGAAAAAAAACACATTTTCAAAACATGAAAATAATCATCTTTAATGAAAAATATTATTAACATCTGTGCAGCCACACTGCACCTCAGCACTGTGAGACATCCTGATATTATTAACAACTGTGTTTACAACACTGCATTTGGACTTCATCGCTCTCTCCTCCCTGTATACAGGAAGCACTTTAAAAACAGGTCAGAGCAGCAACACGCACAACAGCAGTATCTTTCAAACCTTTTTGATAAATAAAGTATTCACAAGAGTCAAATGTAAACGTGTGAGTGAAGGGAAAAGACGTTGAACAGCCTAAACTAAGTATTTCAGGGTTGGGCGCAGAGCAGGAGGAAAACTTTACACAGAAAACCACATGTGTTTGTAAAACCATCTCCTAACCATTGAGTGACTCATAGCTGGTTTCAAAGCTAATTCTGAATCACACAAACTAGATTTTCTCTGCCAGGGCTGCAGAACTTCTTCTGTACAAAAGTCTCTGTAAATACTCCGACCCGAACCCACAATCGTGAGCACATTCCAGATCTATGACACATATGCATCGTGGTCCAGGATTTCTCTGACAGTGAACATTATAACAGTAAAGAACTACCTCAGTAGCAGTTCAGAGTCTGAGCACACAAATGTCTGCTGACAAGTCTATGAGGGAAGTGCCTGTGGAGGGGGAGAGGCACATTTCCTTTCCCATGACATTGTTCTTAATTAAGTCTTTGCCTTTATTGCCGTTATCTCAAGATATGGCGACGCTGTATGAAGGAGCAGGCGTTTCAGGGGTGGATTTGCACGTCCCCTTTAGATTGTTTGAGTCCATCAAGTTGCTTCCGCTGGACAGTGTGTTGGTCATGACCTGGCGAGAGTTTTGGACTGAGCTGAAACATTCACGGCAGCGTTTCCCGACCAGGTAGAGGATTTCTAAGACAGAGAGGAAGATGCATGCCAGGCTGGTGACCACCATGAAGATGGTGAAGATTCGTTTCTCGGTGGGCCGAGCGATGAAGCAGTCCACCTTGTTGGGACATGGCTTCTGTTCGCACTTGATGAGCGAGGGGAAGTCATAACCCTCGTAGATGTGGTACAGGAGGTAGACGAAGGTGGCGTCCACACCTATTTTGAAGACCAAAGTAAGGACATAGGTCCACCACAGGCCCCCACGCTTCTTGCCCGTGTTCTGGTAGAGGCGGCGGCAGTTCTCGCCGTACTTGAGCCGGTGTTTCCGCTCCCTGTCGTCCCTGTAGGCTACGTGCATCACCACCAGGAGAGAGGGGCAGGTGACGAAGATGAGCTGCAGGGCCCACAGGCGGACATGGGAGACAGGGAATAAGTGGTCGTAGCAGACGTTGTGGCACCCAGGCTGAGCCGTGTTGCATTTGAAGTCTTTCTGTTCGTCGCCCCATACCTTCTCCGCCGCCACCACAAACACCATGACCCTGAAGAGGAAGACGATAGAGAGCCAAACTCGGCCGAAGGCTGTGGAGTACTTGTTCACCCCACTGAGGAGGCCCTGGAGGAATGCCCAGTTCATGACGAGGTTTGTTCACAGTCTGTCTTTTCTTCCTGCTGATGGAAGACAGAGGAAACTCTTTTCAAGCTGAAACAATACAGACAAAACTCAGGCATCTACCAGCCTGGAGGAAAAAGAAAAGAGCCATGTCACAGATGTAGAAGAAGACTAAGACAACAAAGAAAAAAAACTAAGGTGGAGCGGGGTTATTAGCATATACATTCATATGTTTACATATCTTTAAGGCAAAGACATAAAAGAAAAAAAGAGCAATCTGAGCGCCTGAAGTTACCCAAAAACGTTTATTTAACAGCAGACTTTCTCATTATACAAGCAATAACTTTTAAATTCGTCGCTGTGCTGAAACACTGTCAAACAACACTTACTCAATCAGCCATACACTTCTCAGCGACTACAGCAAACGCGTTAAAGTTTGTACTTTCCGTGCGTAAATGCGCGTATCCACAATATCCACGTCTAAAAACCTACTGAATCGGGTAAATCCGAACAGCTTCGCGCTATTGTCCGATTCAGTACTTTATATATTGATCTGAATACTTACAGTTTAAACGCTGTTGTTTCGCCTCAGTGTCGAAGCGGAGGAACAGGCTTCGGGATGAACCTCACCGATGAGAATCTGGGTAGATTTCTCAACAGCACGGGAGTGGAGGGGGTGGAGTTGATTGCCTGACATTTCTTTTCCCAACTTAACCTGCTCAGGTGTGGCTGCTTCACTGCACCAAATACTTGTTTGTCCAGTGAAGTGAGGAGAGAGGTTAACGTTTGATTCTCTTATTTATTTAATTACTTTAAGATCATTTGCAGAAACTCCCTGCACGTGATCACTTACTTGAAATCCAATTAATATACATATTTTTGTTTGCATGATTTGAGGTGTCATTTAGTAGACATTATTCTATTTCCTGCCCAGGACTACAGATGAAAATTAGTGTATAGCTAACTGGTGCAGCTAAGTAGCTGTGCACTGTCCCTGTTGAATAAATAAAATAGAATAAAATAACTTTGAACTCAAATTTTATTAATAAAAAAAATATATATATTTTTTGCAAAACTTTTGACATGTTCCTTTTTTTAAACTTAAAATGAATAAAGAAAATATGTGCTACAAATAGGAAATTATGCAGCTCTAACGGGGTCAGCCAACAATCAGCAAATCAATGTGACATTTAATTTACACAAAGTAAAAGACATCAATCTGTGGTTTCTTTTTATAAAAAAAAAGGTGTTTATTGAAATATTTACATGGCAGATGACGTGTATTCAAAGTACAAAAGACCATGAAAACACTCTCAGACACACTGTCTCCGCAGACAAATACAAACAAGCACGCGCTTCGTTTTCCTTCACACATATTCTCCACAGTCAGAGATGATGACTTTCTGCTTTGGCTTGCCGTCTTTATTTCCCTGAGCCTGCAGAGAGAAAACATTATTAACGACACAGCAATTACTTACTGAAATTGAGCTTCATTATCTTCACCTTTTACAAGCTTTTATAACAACATGATCAACAATTATCAATATAACATAAAGCCCAGACAGATGTTTGACTTCCAGGTTTATAATCCAGATCACAAATATCTTCCTATTTTTGCAACTGAAATAAAATTAACTTGATGTCATCCCTAAAAATTCGTTAATACCACTACTGATGATACTGATGATAATAATGATAGTGGTGGTGGTGGTAGTAACAATAGTAATAATAATAATCTTTATTGTCCACAATGTGGAAATTTGCACATCCTAATAAGGCCACAACATTACAACAATACAATAAATAACAAAACATTCACAGTACAGACAACAACAACACGTGTATGTATTTCAGTATGAATGGTGGTTACAAATTTAGCAAAGTTATTACATTTGGTATCAAAGATTTGTAAATGTTCCTGGTTGCTACAGCAGCACTGCGTCATCCTGAGGGCAATTTTATGAATACTTTAAAAAGCGGGTGAAATGTGTCAGCCACAATTCGTCGGGCTTTTTGTTACACCTGCATTTTATATATGTCCAGTTGTTTCTGCTCTTTCCAAATAATCTTACTGGCCATGTTTGTAATTCTGGACAGTCTATCTTTGCTCTTAGCTTCCAGGTGCCCACACCACGTACACATGTTAAAAGTTCAAATACTTTTAACAGAATTCGGTAAATCAACAGATATTTCTGCCGATTTCTAAAGCTCAGTTCAGACCAAAGATTTTGCTTTGAGACAAAACTGTTACGGAACGTTGCAGAGAAAAGTTGCAGCGGTGTTAACTGGCAGTCTGAACTTGACTCAAGCCGGTTGATGGCATCACCTGCAACTCAGCTGGTCAAATTGCCAGCGGCCGGTTTTGGAATGTAAAGCTTGTCATCTGTTTATACAGCCAGCTGGCTTGAAGTGAAATACTAGGTCAAGTCAAAATGACCACAGACAGCGTATTTGCTTGCTGTGGCAGGTGCTCCGTCCTCATGGTGTGCCGGTGTCAGACGGTGTGTCGCTGCTGCTGCTCTCTGTTTGTGCTTATGCCCCCTCACACACACACACACACTCTCATTGACAACTAATTGGCGCTGCTTACTTATATAACTGTCGTATTTATTATGAATACAGTCCATCTGATGCTCATTTTGTTTATATTTTTTTCACCGTTTCATCACTACTACAAATGCAACTGTACCCAGTATCTCATTGTCACTGTCCTCATTCATATGTTAAGAAGCTACAAATTATATTCAGCCACAAAATAAGCCTGAAAAGCTGGAAATCAGAACGGAAGTACAGAGAGTTGTTGCAAAGAGATGATACTGTCTCATCTAGTTGCATTGGTGTGAAACTGGAGGTTTTCAGAATGTTGCAGAACAGTGCGTTGCCAATAGTTTGTTTCAACTTGTCTTGCTGCAAATCTTTTGTCTGAACTGGGCTTAAGAAAATACAAATTTTGGTTGCTGCTGTTCACATGTATGATTTATTCACATGTAGTAATAGTGAGAAGCAAATAGTGATTCATGTGATTAAAAGTTACACTGGGTAATAATAATAACCAAATTAAGTCTCTAAGTCTCAGTAAATCCTTTTGTCCCTCACCTCCATTGCACGCAGCACATCCATCCCCTCCACCAGATCTCCAAACACCACATGTTTGCCATCCAGCCAGTCTGTTTTGTCGGTGGTGATGAAGAACTGCGAGCCGTTAGTGTTTGGCCCAGAGTTGGCCATGGAGAGCTGCCCTGTGAGCACGAGAGACAACATTTGGCCAGTTATCCACAGGATCTGCTAGTGAACCTTCATGCTCAATCACAGAGTCCACAGACTCCTACACACACTCTAGAGAGCTCCACACGAAACTCCTCACCTGGCGCGGTGTGTTTGAGGACAAAGTTTTCATCATCAAACTTCCGTCCGTAGATGGATTTGCCTCCGGTGCCGTTGTGGTTGGTGAAGTCTCCTCCTTGGCACATAAACTGAGGGATGATACGATGGAAGCTGCTGCCCTTAAAGCCAAAGCCCTTCTCATGCGTGCACAGGCAGCGGAAATTCTCTATGAGATATAAGAGAAGATGCTGGTGTCAATATTTGCCAACACATTATTTTGTTTTCCAACCTGTGCAGCTACAGTATATATTTTTGAGAAAGATTTAAAGATAAAAGCCCTGCAGCATACACACCTACTGTCATGGGAACAATGTCAGCCCGAAGAAGAAAGCGTAGTCTTCCTGCCGGCTTGTTTCCAATCTTGATGTCCATATAGACCTGAGGATTAACTCTGCCCTTTTTAGCCGGGGGTTCGTCCTACAAACACAAATTATACTTATGTCACTATCTAAACATAAATAAGAGTCAGGGGCATCATTGCAAGCTAGGAAAGCTATCTCACTTCCTGTGTTGCAGTGTTGGTTGTCTCGCCACCCGCTGTCTCCGCCTCAGCCTCCTCTGAGGTCTTCCCTGAGAACTTCTTCAGCCAGTCATCATCTGACCACACTGATGGGAAAGTCAGAGTCAAAATCAGAACCAATGATTTCAACTACTGTCCACGGAGAGGCTTTTATAAACAAGTTTTCATCAATCACCTGGTCGAGAAGAACCTTCTTTGATTCTCATGGGCTTGGCGGTGTTGACCCGGATAGTCCGACCAAAAAGCTCAGACTCATTCTTACAGAGAAAAAGAACAAAAACATCAAATGTTAAAACAGGAAGCTCATCTGCTGGATCTTTGGGGTAAACTCACAACGACTAGGTCTCTGAAACAGAAATAAAACTTACCATGTTATCAATAGCTGCTGCAGCATCCTACAGGAGACAAAGACGATATATTGGTTAAGAGCACAGAAATAGTTACCATTGAAGTCCTCATTATGCATCAATAACCAACCATGTTTACACTGAATCCATCACCAGAGACAGCATTCCAATTAGAGATGTTGTGATATACTGGTACTGATGATAACCATGAGTATTTAAAAATGAAATATCAATATCATGTTGATAAAACAGATGTGATAATAGTGTCTAAATAATCCAGTGCCTCTTAAATAATTTCCATTTCTTTCTGTAATTGCTGGATTTGTACACTTTTGTACAGTTGTGGTTACAGACTCTCTGTCTCCTTATACTCATATTTTAATGTAAGTCATTTACCAAGGAAAAAAAAAAAAGAAATACAAACAGCACAAGCTAAAGATGGATTTTACTGATAACATTATTATTATTTCCAATTTTTTTTATAGCTATCATTATATTATAGTTACTGTAAACTCTTTTTGCCATGATAATGGTGTGGTGAAAATTTGATATTGTGCCAGCACTAATTCCAGAAAACTGTGTATAAAGGATGCTGATAAGTGTATTCAGTTCTTATCCTGTTTAAATGCAAGAACACAGCCATATTAATAACTGGGAATCGCCCCTCTTAAACATCAAACATCATCCTTCTTGTGTGTTAATATTATTGTATACACTAAGTACATTTTTTACATTTAATGACTGTACCTTAAAGTACATTTGTTAGCAAGCAGATGGATTACTGTATGTTTGGAAATTCAGTTAAATTTGAGATAGTATTGTAGTTCAGTTACGGTGTGTACATGTTCAACATCTGTAGTCTGAACATGACCTTATTCAGGTTAAAGTAACATTAACTAATGGAGATTTTCATAAAGAATTAGTGTTGTCTTAATTGGTGTATCATCAGAATAGTGCAGCACTAAGTGTGTACTTCAGTGCTATAACCAATACATACCTCTGCCAATTCAAACTCAATGAACGCAAATCCTCTGTGCTTTTCTGAAAACAGAACATAAGACACATTAATACAGATTAATATTCATATTACCCACACTGTTTACACTGTTACACAGACAAAGTGGAGTTACTGTCACTTACATCCAGGGCTGTCACTAATGATTATTTTCATTGTCGACTAATCTGTCGATTATTTCTTCGATTAGTTGACTAATCATTTCATCGAAAAATGTGTTAAAATGTTGAAAAATGTCGGTCTGTCTCGCCCAAACCCCAAAATTACGTCATCTAATGTTTTGTTTCATACTCATGCTTAAGGGTTTTAGTTCACTGTTACTTGAGAGTGTGTAAAGCTGCCAATATCTGAACGTAAGAGTATTTTGGGGTACTTTTATAGTACTTCTCTATGAAAAATGTCCGATTAGTCGACTACTAAAATAGTC